CCCTTCTGCAGGCTCAGTAGCAAGGAGGCTGTCTCCCCTGATCCTGGCAGAGAACTCGAAGTTCACATTCTGCAGATATTGAATCACAAATGCACTGAACTTGGGTATGCCAGGCCTACTGAGGATAGGAATTGAGTGAAAACCTGCATGTTGAGTAATGAGACTCCCCTAGTCCCTTTTCCCTGACTAGCACCCCAAAATGTTGGCAACTGGCAACACAGGCAGAAACACAGTTTTTCTCAGGGGAAATGATAAGGCTAAAAGAGAAGCTCCACAGATGCTGACATTTGACACATGTCTCCATAAAATGTTTGGGTCCAATCACCAACCCCCTAAAGGAGGCCCATTAGTCAACAAGCTCTGCCCTTTCATAGGAGAGCTTCCAATCAGGTTTTCAGTGCTTCAGTCTTAAATATAAATTAACAGCAGATTGATGAAATGAAATGCTCTAACATGAAAGACAAAGAATAAAACAAACCAAAAGAAAAAAAGAAAAATATAGGTAAGAGACACAGTGCAGGATTAGCAGAAGAAAAGTTGAAGAAATTTCCTTACGGAGAGAAAAGATGCTGACTATGTGACATAAGAACAGAAACTATAGAAAAGCAATATTTAGAGAACAAGAAATAGATCTTAGAAAAAATGGTGGCAGAAACATAAAATTCCATAGAAAGGTTGGCACATAAAGTAGAAGAAATTTTACTTGAAAGTAGAATAACATGCCAAATAAATGGAAAATAGGAGAGAAAAGATAAAAAAAAAAACTTATTAGAGAACTCCTAGCTGTCCAACAACTGCTTAACAGGAGTTCCAAAGAGAGAGAACAGAGAAAATGGAAGAAAAGACTTATCAAAGAAATGGGACAGGGAAAATTTCCAACTTGAGGGCAGATAACAGATTAAAAGCTTCCACAAAGTGCCTAACATAATAGTGAATAAAGACCAGATCAGAGCATACTCTTCAAGGTATTTCAGAGGATCTGGGTAAGAAGATCCAAAAACTTCCAAAGAGAAAATACAAAGGAATCAGAATGCCATTGGTCTTCTCAACAGTCACTCTGGAAACTAGAAGTTAATATAGTGATGCCTTCAAAATTATGAAGGAGAATGATTTCCATCCTAGAGTTCTGTGTCCCACCAAACTATTAATCAATTATGAAGGTAAATTAAAACCATTTTCCAATATGCAAGGTTTCCAAGATGAGTTATATGATCTCCAGAACATACTGAGGATGTACTTTCCTAAAGTGAGGGGGAGAAACAAGAAAGAGGAAAATATGGGACTTATGAAATAAGGAGGATGTACAGAAAATAATTTCAAGATGTCACAGAAGCATAATCCCAGGATAACCACAAAGCAACAGACCTAGAAATCAATCCAGATTAAAGGAGGGGTTAGAGGGCTCCAGAAGAGATGTCTCAGAAAAAGAGAGAGAGAGAGAGAGGTAGAACTGATAGCTTATCCAATGTGATTTACTCCATTGAGAGTAAGAAAATTTGGGTGTAAATTTGTCACTGTTATATATTTTTAAAAGCCAATAATAAAAAGAGGCAAGTTTTAACTACAGGAAAAAAGAAGTAGTTGTGAAACAAGGAAAAACAGTTGTAAAAAAACCCAGAAATGCAATCATACAGCTGGGTGCAGAGGCTCACACCTGTAATCCCAGCACTTTGGGAGGCCGAAGCAGGAGGATTACTTGAGGCCAGGAGTTTGAAACTAGCCTGAGCAATATAGAGTGACCCTTTCTCTACAAAAAATAGAAAAATCAGCGGGGCATGGTAGCATGTGCCCATAGTCCCAGCTACTTGGAAGGTTGAGGTAGGAGGATCTCTTGAACTTAGCCCAGGAGTTTGAGGCTGCAGTGAGCTATGATGACACCAGTGTACTCTAGCACAGGTGACAAAGCAAGACCCTGTGTACAAAAACCAAACAAACAAAAAAACCCAAATGCAATCATAGTACACGGCATGGCTCAGCTCTGAACAATATTTGCGAACAACATAAAGATTGATGATATGCAAGCATCTTGCAATGTTTATTTAATAAAAATTATGACATAAATATAGAGGGAGTTTAGGAATATACAAAGCCTATGTAGTTAGTGTAAGAGAACTAAATCCCCTTCTTTAAGATATCTAAAATGGAAAAATCAACAAGTAGAATAGCAGATAAGCACATTAAAATATAAATATGAAGATCTATATTAGCAGAAAGTGTTAAAAGAGTTTTGGGAGTGGGAAGATGGGCAAGGGATTGCTGTTTTTTGTTATAATCCTTGTAGAATTAAAGTTTAACTTTTTTTACTATGCATATGTATTATTTTGATTTTAGAGGATCAATTGCATATGCTCCAGAAATATTTGCATTGAAGGTGAAATGGCTACTTCCCAATATACTATTATTGCAACACATAGAAACAGGCTATTTCAAATCATAGCAATACATAAATATTAATACACTGCCTAAAAAAACATGAAGACAACATTCAGAATAAGTGTCACTCTTTTTATTTGTTTTATTAGCATTGTAATATTTTCTTTTATTATTAAGGACAAGAGGGTCACTAAAAATTTTATTTTATGCTAACTCAGAGGTTCTCAACTGGGGAAGAATTTGCCTCTGATATCTAGTAGGTAGAAGCCAAAGATGCCACTAAACAATCTATAATGGACAGGACAACCCTCTATATAAAGAATTATCCAGCTCCAAATGTCAATAGTGCTGAGCTTGAGAAATCAAGCTTCCAGTCTTTGAGGATGATTTCATCAGAACACTATACATAAAGATTGATGATATGCAAACATCTTGCAATTTAGGTCTGACTCAGCTAAATATCTTGGTTCAATGTTGGAAGCAGTCTGGCTGTGAAATATATCTTTGGGAATATTGAGAATGGTAAAGACAAAAGGTATAATAAGTGATAACAATAATGAAACACGGAGCTTTGTACCTCAATAATCTCTTTCATCCGTGGTTACTAGGGCACTTTATAGGCTAATAATAACTACTCTGGTACTCACATCCTACCTTTTATCTAAGGACTGCAGGCACTTTCACAACACTCTTACAATGTAGGAAGTATTATTATTCCCATTTTATATGTAAGTAAACAGAGGCACAAAAATTAAGTAACTTGACCAGCCATACAAGTCAGTAGTAGCCAACATTCCTGACTCAAGAGTCTATTAAATCTAAGAGAACTGGTCTAAGAGATGCAGTGATAAATTTAGTATAGGTGTTATCTTAGTACCTAGTTCATTCAAAGTCTATCGTTTTCAGGGCAATATTGCATATTCAGTACCTCATCATTTTCGCTTTCCTCCCTGCTCTGCCTCCCAACTTCTTAGAGACCCAGAACTCTAAGTGCTTGACATCCTCTTACTAGAAGGGACTATGTTTACCCAGCGCCTTCCTTGAACCAAGCACACTTTACATGCAGTGTCAATTCTTAAAACACTTTAAAATATATGCTGATATTGCTGATTTTGTAGTAAAGAAAGCTGAGTTTTAGAGAATTTAAACATGCTCAAGATCTCTCAGCTATTTATGTTGTATCCAGGCTGACAATATCCTGTAGCCCTTCCAGGAGAAAATCGTCTGATAAGTTACAAAGTATATTAATGTGAATATATTTAATACCCCATTCTCCCTCTCCCCACCCCCTTGCAACTCAGAAAACAAAATAATGCATTTGTAATTGAAGAATTGCAGATGGTGCACTTGGGTTGGTATCAGCTAGGTAAATGGCCACTCAGCCTTTAAACCTATTCCAAGGATTTTTCCAGAGCTCACTCCTAGTTATCTTTATGTTCACCCCAACACCCAACAGCCAGACTAAAATTCAGAACTGTGTGATTTTCCCTTTGAGAAATACAGAGCTTGGTGAATCACTTTCTCCTGCCCACCCACCATGTGTCACCTGGGCAAAACAGGAATATTAAGTAGGAAGAAAGATTTATGTTAGGTAAGAGTGTGATTCAGTGCTCTCCTACTTTTTTTTTTTTTTCTTTTTAAAAAAATGGAGACCTGGCATTTGTAGCCTATGATAATGATGTGCCCTGACATTACTTGGATATAGAAAGGTCAGTCTCCTCAGATGCTGTCAGTAGCAGCCCACCCAGCCCTGATCCAGAAAGCTTAGATGACTTGCATGTGAGGGTTAGATTCACCCTCGGTACGTTAAGGATGAAAAAATAGAGACATCACTGTCCCAGCTCCTTTCAAATCAGCGTCAATGCAAGCTTTAGTACTTTGGTAGGGAGCTTTGCCTCTAAATTCAGTAACTGTCAAGAGGTGTAGAGACAGGGTTAAGAGGAAAACTCCAAACAAAACTGGGATTGCCAACACGATAAATTGTCAAACTGAGTTTTTTTTTTTTCCTCCCGCAAGCCCAACATAATAGTAAAATCTTGATATTCCATTGGCAATTTAAGCCCTTCCTATTAGCCAACCCTTTTCACTAGGACAGCACAGTTTTCACAGGAGGGTGCCGGGCTTGTTTCAGTTCTTTCTATTCTCCTAGCAGTCACTCTAGTTCATCTGAAAAGGGGGCAGAGACGAGGAAAAGGGACGCGTGAGTGTTTTCTCATCCTGACTAGTTATGCCCTGAATCATCACAAGTTGCTCGCTCTTTCCCCCTTAGCCAGCAGCATTTGAGACTTTCCCTGGAATAACACGATCTTGTACTTAAAAGGAAGAGTGGTGGGAGAGGAGAAAGGCGGAGAAGAGGAGTGGGGAGAAGGGCGTGGAGCCGTTTCCGCCCCGGAGTCGCAGGCGCCGCGAGGCCGCGAGCCCAGGAATGTGCGGTCCAGCCGGCGGGCGGCGGGCGGCTGGCGGCGGGCGGGCCGCGGCGCCGCGCACCTGAGCGCTGGGGGCGGGGCGTCGGCGGCACGACCCTCCCCACCGCGCGCCGCGCCCCGAGCGCTCCGCCTCGGCCCTTTCCGCCCGTGCTTCGGCGCCGCTCGGCTCCCCTCCCGCCCCTGGCGCCCTCCCTCCCTTTTCCTCTCCCTCCCATCCCGGGACTGCCGCGCGCCCCGGACGGCTACTTTGCCGCGGCGTCTTTCGCGCGGCAGCTTCGGCTCACCTGGGCGCCCACTCCCAGCCCCGCGCCTCGTGCCCCCCAGTTCCTCCGAGGTAAGGGGCTGCCCGGGCCGGCCGCGCACCCGTCCCCTCCCGGCCCGGCCGGACAGCTGGGTCCCCGCCTCCTCTGCAAGCCGGCTAGGGGCTCCGCGCCTGACGCCCGGCATGGAGGTGTGGGTGGCGGGCACCTCGGGCCGGCGGTGGCCGGAGCAAGGAGCGGGCGGTAGGCGCGCCAACAGGTGGCGGGGTCTGGCCCTGGTACCCTGACTGCCGCCGGCGCGCACGGGGGTGGGGTCAGTGCCTCTCTCCTCCCCTCGAGGGGCGGCGACCGTCCGGCCCGCCGTGTAGGTGCGTTGGGGAACTTTGCCGGGTGGGGACTCGCGGCGACCGCCCGCAGAACGAGTGGGCGCGCTCCGGCGGGCGGGCTTGCGAGGGGCGCGGCCGGGGGCCAGACCTTCGGGCCGGGGTCTTGCGCGTCCCCTACCCGCCCCTTTTGTCTTTCCCCTCAGACCTGCGGCTGCTGGGGGACCGGCGGCCGCCCCGCGCCCGGAGGTCGTTCCCTCGCATCCTCCGGGCCGTGGAGAGGAAGAGGCGGCGGCAGCGGCCGGAGCCGGGGTGGGGGCGGCAGCCTGAGGTGAGGACCCGGCCGGCCCCGCTGGGAATATGGCGACCGGTGGCTACCGGACCAGCAGCGGCCTCAGCGGCAGCACCACAGACTTCCTGGAGGAGTGGAAGGCGAAACGCGAGAAGATGCGCGCCAAGCAGAACCCCCCGGGCCCGGCCGCCGCGGGAGGGGGCGGCAGCGACCCCGCCGGGAAGCCCCCGGCGGGCGCGCTGGGCACCTCGGCGGCCGCCGCGGCCAACGAGCTCAACAACAACCTCCCGGGCGGCGCGGCCGCACCTGCCGCCCCCGCTGCCGGGGGCGTGAACTGCGCGGTCGGCCCCGCCGCGCTGGCCCGCGCAGCCCCCGTCCCGCGGCGGCCGGAGGACGAGACCCCCGCCGCCGCCTCGGGGGCGCCGCCGCCCCGGGGCGCCGAGGAGGAGCGGGACGGCGCCTCGGACAAGGGCAAGAGCTCGGGCCCCAGTGCCAGGAAAGGCAAGGGGCAGATCGAGAAGAGGAAGCTGCGTGAGAAGCGGCGCTCCACCGGCGTGGTCAATATCCCCGCCGCGGAGGTGAGCCGGGCGGGGGCTGCCGCCGTGCGTTTTCCTCCTGGGAGTTCCCCGAGTCTCCAGGGCCCAGAGTTTTCCTGCTCTGGCGCGTGCTTCTTATCCTTTCACCGAGTTCGGCAGGCAGAGGGTGATGAAGTTTTACACTGAACAAATGCTTCCTGGGAAGTTCCCCAAATCCCAAGTAGGACACGTGCTTTTCTGGCTTCCTGGCTAAGGTCTCAGTCAGACCCAGGATCCTCCTCTACCGTGTTAGGAGGACAGCTTGTGGCTCTAGGATTTGCCAACCTAGACTTGTCTGTTAATGCGTGATCAGTTAGAAAAATTGATTAATGGTGATGACGACCTACTCTAGTTTCCCACGTGTCCGGTCTCAAGTTATCAGATTGTTTATCTCTTTTTTCCTAACAGTGTTTAGTAGCACCTGTAAGAAAATGTGGCCTTAGCAATAGACAAGACAGATTTATCTTGCAGTGAACCCCAAATGAGTATATCCAGATGAATTAATGCACTAATTCATATGTAAATTGACTTTATAAAATTGTGCTCTCCAATAACGCACTTCTTTTTTCCTGAGTGCTATTTAGGACAATAGGAATGCTGTAGCAACCCACAATTCTGTTTGCTAAGACGATCTCTTCACGTATTTAAGTACTGTATCTGGAAAACATTTGTGTTAGGGTTTTGAGGCTTTTTGTTTGTTTCTTTTTGTTTTTTGGTATTTTTGAGCAGTCTGAAAACATGCTGCAAGCAGCAGCATCTTCCTATTAGAGTGACTGGTAAAAATTTTCACTTAGGGTATAATCACACCTCCCTTTATACCAGAAACAAAATAATCCCAAACAAGTGTTGGTTAATATTAAAGTAGCTCACCTGTTTGGGGAATTGGTTCAACTACCCTGTTTGACCCAAAGTAGCAGAATCTTTTTCTCATTGGCTCTTTAGGTTTTCATTTTTTTGTTTGTTTTTTTTTTTTGTTACTCTTGGCCTTCTAATTTACTAAATTTTGCTTCCTAGTAAATAGCTATTAAGAATTTACTAACTTTAATTGTAGTTTAAGTAAAAGTATTTTCAATAAGATAGGGTGTGAATCACATATGCCCAAATTTTTAGTATTAATATGATTTCCATACCTGGAAAATGATTGTGTGTCTTTGTAGGGTGTATTTTTATGTGAGTGTTTCAGAGAGATTTTTATCAGCCAGAAAAACTGTCTTCTGCGGTTTGCTACTTGCACAAAAGATCTGTTATTCATTAAATTGCTTTAAAAGGAATTCATAAGAGTGGTAATCAAATTACCAGGTTTTTTTTTCTTTTAGTTAAAAATACGAAGATTAAGGGGAAATTGAAGACAAGGCTTTGGAAAAGCTACATTCCTCAGCTTTATTTTTAAAAGTAGCTGATGGTCCAAATAAAAGAATTTGTCATTTTCAATCTTTTCTTCATTGTTCATCTGACAGGGGTCTTATTTTGGGAAATTTCTTGGCAAATATTAAACTTCACTGTTTTTTGGCTGCTTGTGCTAAAATTATTTTTCAGAAACTTTTTTTTTTTTTAAACAAGGGTAATGTTTGCGAAATAAGTAGGGTGTATCTTGTGAGATCCTAAGAAACATCCTTTGTTAACACTCCTGCTTTGAGTAAGGGAACATAGTGCTGAGAATGTAGATGACTCCCTACTACAATTGAGTCTAATACTCTGGAATGTTTTTCGTTTGGGTGTTGGCAACTCCTAAATTTAATCTTTCTTAAAAATAAACAACCCAGGGTATCATTTTTTTTTCTTTTTTCTGTCTGTGGAATTTGAACCTTTTTATTGAATAGGGGATTGAGTATGGCTTTCTTTTAGTGGTAATTATGGCTCTATCAGTTTCAAGCTGTAGGACCCAAAAAAACATGGTAATGTTTTACTACAGTATCTAATTAACAGACATACTTCTTGGGTGCCTACCCATATTTTCACTTTTTTAAAAATAACTTAAGTCTTTTAGACTCTTTTAATGGTGGTAGAATATATGATGCAAAACTTTAAAGGTAAACTATTTTGTATCTTTAGATTGTTGCTTTTTTAGAATTGTGTGCCATTTCTCCTAGTAGTGTCAACAGTGGGAATGCCAGTTGTTGTGGACTTTGTTGTGTAATATAATTTAGCACTCTTGTTTTAAAAAGTAATATTGCATTTTACAAACTTCTGAGGTATGAAAATACTGTAAAAGAATGAAAATCACCAATCTGTCAGTATCAGAAGTAGACTTGTATTTTATCTAATGTTGAATAAGATTCTCTTATTTTCAGATGGTATTCCCAACCAAGTTTACTTTAGTAGATTAACATGTAGTTTGTATGGAGGGAGCCTATTTTAGTGGTTGATAAACATTAAGATCCTTCAAGAATACTTACTAAACATCTGTGTGATACATTCTGGGTGTTTTTAACTCATTTAACCAGTTACAAAACATTATATTGTTGTAAAGGTACCTGACAACAGCTAAAGATACCAAAATCAATTAGAAGTTTAGCAAGGAAGCAGGTCAAAAACTAAAACAGACTGATTTGAGAGGTAGGAAACTGGGTGGATGTTGCATGTGATGTCTGTAAAGCTCAAATATCCAGATGCTCTTTAATGAGATAAACTTTAGTTCTCACTAAAAGGTTTATTTTAAAAAAAACAACTTGTAAATTTTTACTTTTTCTAATTTTTTAGTAATAATTAGCCTGAATTGGATAATTTGGTCATGGCATACTTCCTGCCAATAATTTTTGTGTCTGTTTATCAGGTCAAATATTATATTTATTATATGTCTGTGTTCAAGGCACTATGCTAAGCACTGGAGAAAACAAGAATAATAAGGCAGTATACATTCTCAAGGAGCAAGGCTGTAATCTAGGAAAAAGGATAAGGCATAATTACATGAAAAACTTAAATACTGAGTTAACAGTTTACCAGCTATCTTAATGCAGCATAGAACTAATTATTTATTAGAAATGTGTGTTTAAAGGGAAGAGATGATTGGGCAGGGAGAGGCTATTGAGGATGAATCTTATATATTTTTCTGTACCTGTATATTTAAACATATTTTCTCACATATGTACATGTCTACATAACTGTATAGTATTTTAAGTATCAGAGTGCAGTGGTTCTTCTGGTAGCACGGTTATACCATGTGAGAATATTAAAAACTGCTTCCCCTGCTTCTTGCCTTCTTCTCCCCTCCCCCCCTTTATTATTTAATGGGTCTGGGATAGATCCCAGGCATTAATATTTTTATAAGCTCCCCATGTGTTTCTAATGTGAGCCAGGGTTAAGAACTTGGGCTGCAGTATGGGGTGCAGGACAAAGGCCTGGCCTACAGGGTGCTCTCAAATGATATAAGGAAATATGATAAATAGAGTGATAGGTATAACTTAGTCCCTGGGCAGGGTACCTAACTCAAAGAAGAGGAATAGTTCAGGAAAGCTTCTTAGACAGTTGTATACCTATTCTCAGAGTGCATGTGAAGTTATTGCTATTGGATAAGTTTGCCTGAATGGGTTAATGGAGGTGGTTGCCATAGAAAATATATTTCAATAGGCAGAGGTGGCACCAAAGTTCTGGTTTAATTATAAAAGTTAACATATACAGTATCTAAAACTTCAGTTTGCATGGTGATTGGCTAAAGTGCTTTATGTACTTAATGCTCACAGCAATCCCATGTGGTAGTTACAGTTACTCTTTCTGTCCCCATTACCAGAGGAGAAAATGGAGGCTTAGAGTTTAAATGACTCAAGGTCACATAGAAAGTGACAAAATCATATTTTAAATGTTTTTGTGTTTTTTTTGTATACGTGCGCATCTAGGGAAAGGAGAGTTTTTAAGAATTACTTTGCCTTATTTAGCATATTTCCCTGGATTTTTCCATAACTTTTTATTGAAGGTTTTCTTAAATAACTTCAATATCTGAATAAGGAAAACAGTAAAAGTATGGAATTGAACAGAAATTAATCAAATTTGTAGGCTCAGAGATTGTTTCTAACCCTATATAGTTTGCTTGGCAAAATATCAGTAAAATGTAAATTTATTTTTGGCTAGTGGTCAGAAAATGAGGATCTTAGATTTTAGTTAAGTGATACATTGTTTTTATGTCAAGATGGTGTTTTAATAGCCATTCCATAGTTTGAACTCAGGTTAGTAAAAGGGAGGATAAAGGAGCATTTAATACATAGAAAGCACTTTTTTAAATGAACACAATTTAGGTCATAATTATTTAGTATATTTATTGAACATTATATAGGACAAGTTCCACTTAGTAAACTTTTTAAATCTAGGTAGATTGAGAAATACCTTTTGGTATTCCCATTATGTTCCAGACTGTCTACCTTTCTGTGTGATGAGTCAGGAGAGAAACTAATAATGACTCAGAGCTGGAGAAATTTGACTTGTGAAGGGTAGTTATAGTGTAAACACTGAGGCTACTTAATAAGATATTAAGCCTTACTTCATAAATGTTTGAGCTCATTGGTAAAGTAAATTGAAATTTTAGCTTTATCAGGATTTGTAATGAGTTGTCTGAGCTAGGATGCCATTTCTTATAAAAATAATAATTACATGATTAAAGTAGATGACATTTATGGTGTGCTTATTAAGTGCCAGGCACTGTTCTAAGCACTTTACATATATTGGTGCATTTGATTCTCACCATGGCCCTATGGAAGAAAAATGGGCAGAGAGGGTAAGTTACTTACTTGCTTGAGGTCATATTTGTAATAAGTCTACAGATAGTCTGCACTCACAGTCTGGTGCTTAATAACTTATCTTATTATACTTTGGTGTATTACATACTGTATACCTAGTTTAAGAAATACAAAGATAGGCTGGGGCGAGATGGCTCAGGCCTGTAATCCTAGCATTCTGGGAGGCTGAGGTTTGGAGTATGACACCAGCCTGAGCAAGAGAGAGATCCTATCTCTACAGAAAAGAGAAAAAAAATTAGCCAGGTGGTGGTGTGCACCTGTAGTCCCAGCTACTTG